TTTATTTATCACGGCCAAAAGAAAGCTCTGTAAAAACATACAAGTAGTAATATGGTAAATGCAATATTGATGCACTTTACCCTCGGCAACGGCATCTCGCCATCTCGTGGGCAACCCAGATCCAAGGGAAATTCTGATTCAGATTCTGTGTTCTGACGAAACGGAGGCGAGAATATGCGGAGTATAAGGTTGCACGTAAGCCAATAAGCGCGAATCAGCGGCTGCGGCTCATAAATAAAAGAGTTAATCAACATATTGATAGAGAGACACGGCGAGACTTAAACGAGACGAAGGGCGTCTGAGGAGAAGAGTGGGGGAGAATGGGGGTATGGTGTGTTAACCCATTAAGAACTTGTGGGGAAGCTTAAAAATTCATTCCACACCACTGCGTGCTCTGCTGAATAGCTGTGTTCAATTGGGTTAACAAACAAAAAGCACACAAAAGTTTAACTTTCGAAATAAAATTACTTTCATTGAGATGTTGATTCGTAGAGGGGAGAGTTTTTAATGGTTTTATCTAGTTTAAATTCGCAAAAAAATCTCTTAGAATTGCTAAACAAAAACCGAATTTAAAATAATAAGGATTACGAATAAGCAAAAATATATAAATATATTTAATTTATAAATATTTTTTAAGTGATCTCTAATGTTTATTCAAAAAAATCTCATACGAAAAATAGTTAAGATTAGTAATGACCAAAAATATTTTCTATTTAATGTTATTGTTTTCTTTTTGATCTCTTTATTTTTTGTAATTTAAAATTATGTTCTTAGAAATATAATATTTATTACTTTCTTTCATAAATAACTTGCTCTTGAACTTTCTCATAAAGTATCAATCGTCTCTAAATTTATGACGATAAAGGTTAGTCCCTACGTTGTTTTTTTTGGCGACCCAAACCAATTTAAAGTCACTTTTTAGCAACCTAAGCTTTTTTTGGATGGAAAATGTGTCCCTTCTTTTCCGAAACTTTTTTCGCCCCTAATCAATGGAAAAACTTTTGCGAAATATGCTGCTAACACTTTCGGGGGAACTTCAACGCCATTCAGTTAATGGGTTAAGCCGTGCTTTTCACACAGCTTAAATGCCGCCAAGGATGCATGGAAATTTATGCAAAAGTTCGTTTGAAGGGGGAAAAGGGGCGAAAGGCAAAAATTACAATGGCCGATGCTGCTAATGATTGTTGTAATCGGTTTTTGCATGTAGTTCGACCGCGTTTCTCTGCGTCGATGTGTTGTAGTTTAGAAAGCGACAGCAGCTGCTCTCCTCATTCTGCTACTACTCCTCCTGTTTCCAGCTACTCGGATGTCCGTCTCATCATTTGCATGGCCATCGATTACCACCACACCGCACCACATGCCGATGGGAAAAACACGGGCAACTGGCGTGCCAAATATGCGAATTATTTTCCAGCGCTGCAGGAAACAGGACAACGTCATTGGCGATTCCTGCGGGGATATAGCATGGGTAGATAGTACAGATATATATAGTTTCTGGGTGGTAAAACTGGTGTTGCTGTCGCACGGCGGCCATGAATGAATGAAAAGTGCTTAATTGCTTGTGACGGCGTTAAATAAATTCTTAATTGCTTCGCACTTTGCGCGTTTGCAACGTTAATAGGATTTCCGTCGCCTGCATGTCGCCAGGATATGCACATCGCCTGCTCCTCCGAAAAACTTCTTTCCTTTGCGTTTTATTGCCGTTAATTTCCGCGGAATTTCGGTTTTTTTTACTTTTACTTTTACACATTTTTTTTTATGCCTTTTCGCGCAGCCCTTGCGAATTCGCGTTTTCGGCCAGCCGCCGTACAAATCCTTTTAGCCAAGTGTCATCCAGGCCAGGAGCAGCCGGCGGCTGCATCATTTGCAAGGCAAAGCGCTAAATTTCATTTTGCATACGCGTGTGTCACGCGTATCCTACCACGCGCACTCGTTACAACGTTACAAACACTGTAAATAAATCTATTTGCTAAATTAAAATTTCACCTACTGATTTAGCATACAAACAAATTTAAATGAACCAAATTTGTTTGCCAATTTATTCGGTTTCGGAAAGAGGCAAAGGAAAAATTCAGCTTTAAAATCGATTTTCAATTCTATCATTTGTTTTGTAGATATCTCAGATATTGCAAATTATTAAAAACTTCACAAGCGGCTTGGACTATTATTATGAGATTTTTACTTGCACAATCTTAAAATATTTTAAAAATTCAAAAAAATGTTATTAAATTTATGACATTCTTCGATTAAAATTTTATTCGACAATATTTGTTTACCTACAAAATCTGTGAGGACAAATATTATTATAAACTCCATGACCCTTTCCTTTATTTCCTTCAGTGCATTTGTATATGTAGGCAAGCCCCCGTGTCTGTTGACGTATAAAAAAAAATTAAAAATGCATTTGTGACATGCTCGCAAAAAAGAAATGCAGCACACGTTGCAAAAACTAATGACTTAATAGCTCGCTTGTGGCAAGGACACCACCCACCCACCCACCGTCCACCACTTACTAAAGCCAAATGTGGGTGAAGAGCACTTGTTTAAATGCAAATCGCAAATTTGGACCTACTCACTGGCCGATTATGGCCAATTCGGTTGACGGCCGTCGATAAGTTAGACGCTTAAATAACGATTACGCAACGCTTGGCAAACAATTACAAGGAAAAGCGGAAAGAAAGCGAAAAGAAATTGTAATAAATTCAAGAAACCCCAAAAACCAAGAGGAGAGACTTTTTCTTTTTCTGGTAACAAGAATTTTAATTTCACTTCATGACAACACTTGGGGACTTCTTGGGATCCTTTCCCCGACTTGTGGTGCCCAAAGTGGATCAGAGGGGCGTTGGATGGGTGGCATGTCTCGTAATGAAATTTACATAATTTAGAAAGACATTTGAGCAACTTTCTTTTTGCCGCTGTACGCGTATAAACAAGACATTTCCGCCACTTTAATTTTCAAAAGCTTACACTTGAGATTTTATTGGCCAATTCATTGTTGGCGAGTGGTCGAGAAGGGGTGGAAATGGAAAGTGGGAAACAGAAGCCAAAAGTGCAGGAGAAAAACTTGCAAAATGCGAAAAATATAAAGGGAATCGCTGAGAAGAAATGGCAAAAATAAAAGAAAGATGGATGTTAAAGTTAGCAGCTAAGAAGTTGAGATGCTCTTTTGGAACTTCAAATGTAGCTTTTGGAAAGTAAATTTTAATAATTTTGAAAGAAGTTATAAGGGATTTTTTTGGATCTATCAAAATATGAAGTTTTAGCTGAAATTATAAGGGGGAGAATATTTTTTATTGGATTTATGTTAAACATTTTTTACTTAAACTATGTTAATATGTACCTTTATTAAAATCAGTTTATATATTTTTTAAAAATATTACAGGGGATTTTATTTCATTAAATCTCTTTAAGAACTTGTATTAAAGGAATGATGTTGCAGCTTAAATTAGTAGAAATTTTATGCGTTTTAGTTAAACTTCTGATTTGCTGACTAGCCAATCTTGAACATAATTTTATATACCCCTTTAAGAGATAAAAAGAAAGTAGCAAGCGAAGCTCGGAAAAACTTTTGCCACAGCTGTCCGCTCGATTCGCCGTCCACTTTTTTTATAGAGGGTGTCGCTTCGATTTTCAGCTCGGCAAGTTTAAAACTCAAACGCGTCGCTTGCGATTGAGCGGGTCACAATTTATTTGCATAAAGTCAGACTGACGGACTGGGCAAATATATGGGAATCCAGAGAATCCAGGATCCCCAATGATGTTTTATGTTTGTCTAAAAGGGAAGAAGGGAGGGGCATTGCAGCTGTTCCAGCTTATGCCAAAGTGGCCAAGTTATTGAATAGTTACGACAAGTCATAATATAAAGTAATCCCCAGCTGACTTTCTACGATTTTTTTTCTTACAGCGACCTGCTGAAGAAGCTGTCCGTTAAGGCCGGCCTTATTGGCTGCTTCCGTGGGCTGGTGGTCAACGGCGAGATTCTCGACATCTACAGCTACATGTCGGTGCATCTGTCGGAGATTATCAAGGACTGTAAGCCATCCTGCGTGCCGTCGCCCTGTCGCAATGGAGCCCAGTGCAAGGAGCTGTGGAGCAGCTTCAAGTGCGTCTGCAACAACCCGTGGGCGCATATCGGCGAGTTCTGCGAGACAAGTGAGTGCAGATGGGGGTGAAAAGAAGATACTTCTACTTTAGGAAACTCGAAATAAGTCAGCCAGAAACAATATTGATTTTCTAAACTGTGAAAAGATATTGCAAATTGCTAAACATGTTTGGTCTTTCCTTTTTTATTTTATTTAAGCAGAATCAGTAGTATTGCAATTTGTTAGAAAGGCTTGCTCTATGGTTTTCCTAAATATTTTGTAAATATTGTAAATAAATTCAAACATTTTTTGAAAATAATAATATAGGCTAAAGATTATGTATTACAATATCAAAATAATCGATTCCCTTTCCTTTACAGACATTAATGAAAAGGCATTGACCTTCATCAATCGAGAGTCCTTTTTGATGCGAAATTATTTGAGTGTGGGAGCCACGCCCGTTATCCTTATGCATGGAATAGATGGCGAACGCGATGTCCTTAAGGGCATCCTCAACCAGGATTTACTGATCAACCTACGAACCTACGATACAAATGCTCTAGTGCTATATGCCAACGATCACTACAATAACTTTGTGCACCTCTACATTAGTCAAAACCGGGAGATTGTTTTCCTATACAATTATGGCGATGAAATTGTGAATCTGACACTGCTGGATGATACGTTGGTGGCATCTCTGAAAAGCATTCAAGTGGCCATTGTGAGGGGAGAACAGGAAACCAGGATGCATGTAAATCAGCGAAGTGTGAGCATCGATAGGGGAACTCTTCTCTTAGATGAGTATGCCAACAAACCTTGGAGTAATCCGGAAAAGGGTAAGAAATTTTATAAAAATTTAAAATCCAACCGTTAAAAAAAACACTTTTGTTCGAATAATACTTTTTCTTAAAATTTATTTATGTTTTATATGTTAGCTAAAATAATTTTTAATGGTATATTTACATGGTTATTTGGTAATGTTTTGAATATTGATTTAATTTGCCCTTCCTTTAATATATTTCAATTATAAATTATTTTTTAACACCCTGTGATTTCCCTCCCCTAATCTACTTTCGTCACTTCCAACGGCTGCCCATTTTAGAGGTTTTACTATGGGCATTGCTGCTGCTATTTTGGTGCTGTTCATCCTGGGCGGCCAACTCTTCATCGATGAGTAGTTCAAAGTTGCCCAAAGCATCGGCACTGGGCACCTTATTCCAACGCACATCAGGCACTCCATCGGGGGGCAGAACCACTGACAAAATATTATCAATCAGCTTGTATTTCAGTATTCTATCATTAACAGTGGTAGAAGTCAGCGACGGAGAGGCATTGACCTCCACTAGCCAGGGTTTCAGGGCATTATCTATAATAATATCGTAACCATAGCACTCGAAGCAATGCCTATCACTGGCCATCACAGGAGCCACGGCCCGCAGAGAGTGAACTATAAGCCAGGATATGGCGCCAAACAGACGATCCGTAACCTCTTTTCCTCTGGTTCCTTCTAAATATAAAGCCAGATTTTGCACCGACCATTTGCCACCATGTAGGGTATTATATTCGCCGCCATGTTTCTGCACACTCACATTCGTTAAATGCACATACATATTATCCAATTCCGTAACGCTGGTATCATATTTCACTGTGCAAAATCTGCAGAAACCCTGCTTAAATAGATAGGCCTTTAAAGGTCTAAAAGAGGCCACCAGAACATACAAACGTAGATCAAACTTTTTACCACCTATGAGCAGGGGATTGTCTATATATCTGGAGATCACATACGACTCCTTGGCTATTTGCGGGTGAAAAGGACCCTTGGCTTCCCTTGACCACTTCTTGAGTTTGGATAATTTGTTGATAAGGAATATACCCGCTCCTTGGGATTTTCCACACGGCTTCATGATCCAAGTGCTCAGGGGAAATTTGCGATATTCCTCCACAAACATATTATAATCCGCTGGTAATACAAATGTTGTGGGCACAAAATCTAGATAAAGATACCTTGTGCCACTGGAATTATTGGATTCCGTTTTCTCAGCCAAAGGATTGCCATCCCTTTCGAGGTCCTTGCGATATCGCTTAATGTTCTTTACGAGTAAGTCCTTGCGCGAAAGTTCGTAGTGATTGGGAAAATGATTGATCATCTGGTTGTCATGCATCCGGTAGCCACTGTCAACACTGAAAATATTCCTGCAGGTTTGCACACCGGCCCAATAGAAATGCCAATCATCGTCGCCGTTCACCTGATGCCAGCCGCGCTTCTCGAAATTGTTGACCAAAACCGATTTATCCAAATCGGTGCAGAAACCAATTTTCAATTTATCATGTGGGGCACCGCCACTATTTGTACTATTTGCCGCTCCACTATTTGAATTAACATTCGATACCGATTGATTGGCATTACCTCCCGCCTGGCGACCGTACATATTCGTACCGCTCGTGATGGCTTTTGTACCGCTCGAGCGAAGCGTCGGCCACAGACTGTCAGTCCGCCACGCCTGCGTCCATCGACTCATGTCCCAAACAACGGCCATAGATTCTAGATTATTGAACCAACAAAGCCGAAAAATTTATTCACAACCCTTTGGGGGTTTTTTTCTTGGTATTATATGGGGTATGGTTGCCAGGCGGCGGCGGCTCGCTTCCTTTTGTTTTTCTTTTGGTTGCCAGAGAGAAGAGGGAGCACAGAAATTTAGCAAATAGTTTAGCAAGTTAAGCTGCAAAAATGCCAAATATTTTCCCCTACCCTCACAAAATCTCTGTGCACTGTGTGATGGCCAAATTATGTGCACTTGAATTTTTTCTCTTCAGTTTTTCAGTTTATTTCTTCTATTTTTTCCAGCGAACTGTGTGTGTTTGTTTGAGAGTGGCCGTTAAACTCGGTAGAAAATTGTTGGAAAATAAACGCCATGCGAATGGATAAAGTTTTGGCTCTGGCTCTATGGCATAAAAACAACGAGTTGCTTTGTAGTTTGTTGATATTTGAAAACGGTTCAAAGTTTTTATTTCGCTTTGGCTCACTCAATATGTAAATTGAACGGCATTTCAATGGTAGATAGTATGCGGAAATTGTTGTTAAACGAGGGAAATGCATATAGAGGTTGATTATGATCTGAACGGATTTTTTATAAAGCCGCCTGCGTTTTGGGAATATTTTAACAAATACAAATTTTAATCGAATGGTTGGGATTATTTGTACGGTTATATTTGAGTAAAATTGAAGTGTGTTCTTTGTGGGATTTTATAGAAGCTTTGTAAATGTATTTATTTAAAGGGTTTTCTTTTTGACACTTTTTGCGATACTTAAAACTTTAGTTTTATTAATGGTTTTAGACCTTTTAAAATATTGATGTAAAATTTCCGATATTAAATTTTATATTATATTATATCAAAGCGATTTTCCTCCTAATTCTTTAGTTATAATAGTGTTCTTCGGCATATTACAATTTTCCTTTAATTTTACGGATATTAAAGTACGTATATTTTTGTTACTAATAAGGAAATTAAATGTTTTACAGATGACCAAAAATAAACTAAATCGCGCATGAGATACTGAATGGCGTAAACATAGGCATACAATTTTCGAAAAGCTTTTCCACTCAACCGCCCTTCAATTACACGAGTTGTATGCATTTTGGCAACAACATTTCCCTAGGACTGCACTCCAAAAGCCGCTCGTAACTCACCTTGCAATTGAATTTAATGGAAAAGTTCAGGCCATGGAGCTTGGAACTGAAACTTGGCAATTGGCAAAACGGTAAAATCAATCAAATTGCCCGTAACTCAATGCCAGCGATTTGCCAGTAAAATCAATCATAATTACTCCTCGTTTGGCAACGAAATATGGTCGAAGCATATTTTGGGGCAAATGCGAATGCGATTTCGTAAATACTTTGAGCAGAATAACACATAAGCACTTTTGTAATTAAATGCGTTAACCAGTTGGACTGCAAAACTGAAACCTAGATTGTGGCAGTGCAGCCATCGGAGCGCTCTATTCAGTTTAGTTTCGGCGCGTTCTGCTGGCCGACAAACATTTCAATTAGACAAAATTAAACTCGAAATTGATGGGCCTAAACCTCAAACGGCCCGGGTCTGGGCCACGGGGTCCGGGGTTCGAGTACGGGTCTGCGTCCGGCAGCCCAACAGGCTGGCTAAAACCCGAAATGCCACGGCAATGAAGGCTCATTTCCGCACACACACTCACACACAACGATATGCGCGCTTACATAAAGCAAACTAAACCAAAATGTACACTTGTAAAAAGTTTTTCGGTCGTGTACAAACTTTTTTGAAAAAGATAAACCCCAAAATTTGGTTATTCGAATTTTTAAATTGTGTAATACACTTTCTTAAACAAAATTTAGGAGAAAGTAATCATGTAAAAGTAGTTTAAGAATTTAGTTAAAAGCCAAGATTATATAACAAAAAATTTTGCCAAATTCATTTTAAAAAAAACAATTTCATAAAAATATTTAATTTAATTTCTACTAATCTACTTTTTAAGATGTTTTCTGTAATTTAATCAATCATTAAATCATTTCTGTAACATTTAAAAAAAACGTATTAAAATTAAGTTGGTTCATGGCTCCATTATTTTATACTCGTGCTCTTCGTAACTATTACATTATATTATTGCTAAATTATTAAATTTTTCGTGTGTTTAACACTTATGCATTTTGTGTGAAAAATAATTGACAATAATTCTAATTTTTTCTACAAATTTTCTTGCAATCCTTGCTTTACTTATTTTTATACCCGTTACTCGTAGAGTAAAAGAGTATATTAGATTCGTGCAAAAGTATGTAACAGGTAGAAGGAAGCGTTTCCGACCCTATAAACTATATATATTCTTGATCAGGATCACTAGCCGAGTCGATCTAGCCATGTCCGTCTGTCCGTCTGTCTGTCCGTCTGTCTGTCTGTCTGTCTGTCTGTCCGTATGAACGCTGAGATCTCGGAAACTATAAAAGCTAGAAGATTGACATTTTGCATGCAGATTCTAGGAGTTCCTACGCAGCGCAAGTTTGTTTCAAACGGGTGGCACGCCCCCTCTAACGCCCACAATCGCTAATATACGATTTTAAAAATTTCAATATTTTGGAAAAGTAAAAATGCAGTTTTTTTGTGTTTATCAATACCTATCGAAATGTAGAAGAAATTTTTTAAATCGGACCATTCGTTAAAAAGTTACGGCGGATCAAAGTTTTTATTTCCATCTCCTTCGCATTCCCTTTAGCTGAGTAACGGGTATCTGATAGTCGGGGCACCCGACTATAGCGTTCTCTCTTGTTAATCTTAAACTCAAACGATTATATCTCCTGTTTTAGTGTATATAGCAGACCCAAAACCATCCATACCAGTCTAAACCCCCCGCTCTCATTTGATTTTGTTTATTTGCAGAGGTTCTGTCGCCGCACCGTCCTCCTGCCCCACCCACCGAGTACTTCCAGTTCCACGTGGGCGGCTATGATCCGGCGAATTTGCTACGGCCCAATGTGGATGCACCGGCACTCGAAGGCTATATAGGTTGTGTGCGGGGTCTGAAAATCGGAACGCAGTTGATCGACTTGGCGGATATCAATGAAAGGAATATAGCGCCCAGTAAGTAGGCAGTATAAATCAATTTTCACTGAGTGCAATTTTCGGTTTGGCCCTACCAATGCCATTTTGGCGGCCTCTCTGAATCCTGAAACTGCTGCTCCTGCTCCTTGGATTCTAATTCATAGGCCACTGACTATCGACTCCACTCTCTGCGTCTGCGGTTGTGTGGTTGCATCTGTGGTTGCTGCCTGGCTAACTTAATATGCATGCAATTTCCGTTAAGTGCTGGGGACTCCTACGAAAATGAACAGAGAGCGAGAGGCCACTTTGGGGCCGCGCCAAGATTAATGCCAATGCGATAAGCTGCAGAGGCCCACATGGCGTATGATTTATGCGGCCACGTATCGCGGAAATTGCAACCTGACTTTGATGCGATTAAACGCAACCGCAGTCAATGTAAACACTTTGAGTTCGGAAGGCATTCCTTTCAATATCGTTTCGTTATTAGCAATTCAGGGATGGCTTCTTGAAAGGAAAATAGTTAAGAAATACTTCGATTGGATAAGCTTTGCAAAACACCAATTCTGACATCTTTTAAAACTAATGTTATATTTATGACAATTAACAAGCTAAAAAGGATGTCCAAAGGTATGCAACAATATATTTTTCGTCCTTAAGTCCGATGAATTGATTCCAAAAGACGATGTCAATTTTTTATTGCATACTTTTAGACACCTTTATAAAGTTTTCAAAGGATTTATTTTAAAATTTCTAAAATTTCAAGTTATCTGCTAAACAGTATGTTCTTTAAATAGTTCTTTGTTAGTTTTCGATTAAAATGTATCAAAAAACTAAAATCACATTAAAATTAAAGGATACATTTATTTTTAAATCTTTTATTCAATCCAGCCCAGGAAGGTGTGCTGCCCAACTGCCAGATCAAGTGTGATGCAGAGCCGTGCAAAAATGGAGGAACCTGCCAGGAGCACTTCGCGGAGCAACTTTCGACCTGCGACTGCGAACACACCAGCTTCCTGGGGGAATTCTGTTCGGAAGAGAAGGGCGCCGATTTCAGTGGCGAATCGACGTTGCAGCGCAAATTCGAACTGCTGCCCGGTACAGGTCGCGTTGACTATGTGCGCCTGCAGTTGGCCTTCTCATCGTTCGACCTGCGTCGCGCGAATCGCATAATGCTGCTGATGCAAACGGAGGCGGAGCGCAGCTACTACCTCCTGTTGGCCATCACCTCCGATGGCTACCTGCAATTGGAAGAGGATCGAGATAATGGCCAGACGGTGGGCGCCCGGATCGATCGGAATTTCCTGAACAGCGCCAGGCACTCGGTGTATTATGTGCGGAATGGCACCCAATCGCAGCTCTTCATCGATCGCGAGCAGGTGCCGCTCACAGAATTCGCCGCACGTGTCCTGACCACCGGCGGTGATGCGGGCTCGAATCGCGTCCAGATCGGTGGCATCAACAGCACGGACTCGCGGTTCGCCGTCTTCAAAAGCTACAGCGGCTGCCTGTCGAGTGAGTGTCGTAAATTTTATCCCAGTCCACCATTAATTTCTTTTCGGTCTCATCAAGTGACATACCCCGCCATTGCCTTTACTGCACCAAAAAAAAAAACCGAAATAAAATACACGCAGAGAATCTGAATATTAACGTTGAAGGGAAACATATTCAGTTTCAAGGATACCTCAGAAATCTTTTAAGTTTTAAAACCTCCTAAAAGGTGTCTAAAAGTATGCAACAAATTATTTAAACAATGGAAATCCAATAAATTGCTTTTCAAAAAACATATATATATTTTTACTGCAGACTTTTAGACAACTTTCAAATGTATCTAAAATGTTTTCAATTTTTATGGCAGAACAAAATTTTATATTTTCTTTCTGTAATTTTAACAATTTGAAATTTGATATATTTTTTTGTAATATTTTCCTTTGGTTTTTTTAAGAATGTAAGGAAATAAGCAGTAATAAAATATAATCTCAGTGCTTCCTCTGCTTAACTGCTGCAACTTTATGAACTCACTGAGCTGAGCGCTCAAAATTCCTTGGAAGAGGGGTGATAGTGCTCGCTGGGGGAAGGGCTAGAGGAAAACTGCTTCACATTGTTGACCAAAAAATTAAATTTATTCGCTGCCATAAAAAGTCATTTCCGTGGCCATGGCGTCGTTGCCATAAATTCTGTCAGTTTTTGCTCTCAAGATTTACAGTGGCTCATATTTAAATTGCTGCTTTGCTGCCACTCCAAAAACCGCAGCGCAGTGTCCAACACTTTGATTAAAAATTCACCCAAGCTCCCGCAATTCCCGCTCCTCCACACAACCGCTCATAAAACAGCTGTTCAGCCAGCCACGCCCACGGCACACCACATGTG